GAGCAATTTGTACAGAACACACAGCATGAGATATGTACCCAATGCATATGTGATCAATCCGGTCGATTTGGAAAATCGTTGGCGGGGTGCAAAATCGTGGATGTTTGAAGCGGCTCGAATGGAGGATTTTGCTCAGTCAGAACTGTTGCGACAAGTGAGTCAGCTTGATGGTTCCGGAAGATAGATGATTTAGTCTGCACTAACCACATATCCCAATTCCTTTTATCAACTGTCACAAGTGTGGCATCGTGCTTTCTGATTTAACGTGACTTTTGTGGCAAACGAAATCAGACATGAACGGCTTGTAGCAACTGCACTAAACTTTCCATCGCAGGCTAGTCCTACATGCTAGAAAACAAAGGGAGATCGTCAAGCGAGTTGGAGGCCCATTGTTTGGGAGGATTTCTAGAACCAATAACCGAAACAGAAACCCGAAGAAATGTCTTTTTGGCGTTTGCATATTTCGTTCAACTGAAATGTGAGCCCCAGTGCTTGCGAAAGTTACACACAATGCAATAGAATCAACAGATTACTAGATGATCCAAGCGGGTAATGTTTGAACTTGTTTGTATGCGAACAAGCCATGAAGTCAGAGGAAACGAAAAACGAAAGAGAGCGTGAAAATGTATGAACGCGATGCAACCAGTAAGGTGTTTATCTAGGATGAAGGAACATTGATGTGCAGTTATGAACAAAACGTCAGCAAATTGGTGGGAGAGGGGGAGGGGCATCGGTTGTCACACGAAAGTACGGGACAGTTACGTTTGCTGTTATAGCTCTCGAACCTCATTACGTTACTTGCATAACTCTAACTTGATGATTTCAATTGCTATGACTTCCGTATTTGTCAGGATCTCCTTGTGTTATCCTTTCGTGTGATCCTGGCATAGGTTAAAGAAAGTTGTAAATGATTGGTCTTGGTTGATCCCGAGTAAGTCGGTGATCTGATGTTGTCGGAATGAGTTGCGGAAGTTCCTTACGTTTCGGAGAGCTGGCGGACAATGTTCAAATGTTCTGTTGAACAAACCCCTCCTTTTGTATCCGATATAACGCACATTATCCTATTGCGAGTTAGGTTATATAGAACAAAGTATGTGTGTGAATGTCTCAAATAATACATCAAACAGAGATTGGTTTGCATTTCCGCTTTGTTCCATGGCGTTGATAAACGTTGCATTGCACTTTGACCTAAGCCGGTAAGCATATGCGCATGATCATTAGATAATTATTCTTTGTATCAGTGACTTACGTCTCGTTTACTTGACGGTAGTTCACCATAATTTCATTGTGTGGTTTCATAAGTGAAACCATACATTTACATTCAAATCAAAAGCACCTGAAAGTTTGGTAGAAATCTCTCGTCGCTTACAATTTACCATTAAACACTTTAAATGACAGGTTACAAAATTTATTTACAAATCGACTTTGGTGTTTTGTATTGAATGCGGACTGCACAGCGATTCACTTACTCATGCAGAGGTTTCCAGAAAAGATAAAGTGAGATTCTTGCTATGAAAAGCGGGGTGGTGCTGGAGAATGCAAACTGCAGCCACTTGGGTTCCGCGGTCTGAGTTATGCAAACCATTTTCACAGCCGTATTTTATCCCCTCAATTTTTTTGTTTTCGTCCATTGAGCCACCTTAGAGGACGGTGTCTCTTTCGAGCGACCAAAGTCTAACTTCTTCTTTGTAAAAGCTTACAGTGGCTTAAATGTGAAGCAGTAAGTAGTCTGAAGAACCACACAGGGATAGTTTTATTCCAGTTTGGTGCGCGTGATCTGAGAGTATTCAGAGGCAAATAATTTCACGGAATTTGACTGGGCCACAAAAAATATTCCTAGCTAAACTGATCGTCAGATGACACAGTAGATCTTATCCGCTCGCCTCCTTTAAATATTGAGTTATCGGTAAGGGAGAAAATTGAATTGTGACAGAAAAAGACGGTGGTACAAGTGAATTAGACCAAAATGAAATGCACGGTCGATGGACTTCGTGAAAGTGGATGCAATAGATCGTTAAATGTCACTATGGTTAAAAAATTTATAATGGATTATATCACACTTATCTTTATTCATTTTTGACCATCTCGTCTGGCAAATCCTAGGGCTACTTAATCAGATGAAAACATGGCCATAATTCAGGTTTTGTGTTTTGGGGGGAGATAACCGCGGTCTAGTACGGACTCCATTTCACAGCATGCAGCGATTTTGTATTACCCCAAAAGTTACTGGATAAATTTAATAGATACGCCGATATTTTGATAGATGATGGAACCCATTTGTGCCTCAAAACATCACCTCTATAATAAGGAATGACTAGAATATTCGGCACTCAATCCCGATTCAGTGAGACAAGACAAGAAGGGCAAAGTTTTCACTTCGTCGATGTGAATGTGCAGTTTCACTAATTCCTTTTCTTTGTCCAGACACAAATCAGCAGCGGGTAAACAATCTTAGCAAACATTCCGTACTTAATCTGATGCGATTTGATGTCGACAAACCCAAATAACCGTATAGATTTGTACATAGTTCTAATGGCCCGTTGATGAATTTATCGAAAAACAGCTTGTTTCCCTACTGGAATTTGTTTTAAATGTGGCCATAAATATTTTTCATTCACAAATGCCAGAGACTTTATTTTCCGGTAAATCACGTCAACTAACTCCTCACCGAGAATTCGACGTTCGTCTCTGGCAAATCTAACGTGAAATAAGGTATTTTTGTTTTTACTGATAAACGATTTATGATCTAACTGTATGCAGTCTGTACACCAATGATTATCAGGAGTTTAGTCTACGAGATAATACATCGTACTGGGTGCAAACATTCTAGTGTTTGACCGAGAAACTGGTCAATTCAATACCTAGCCCTCTGGTTAGGCCACCCACGTATTCTTATCAATAATACTATCTGCCGTACTCATTTTCCCGTCTGTTTTAAGCATCCAGAGATCCCGCTGTCATTCAAATTAGTTAGTACAGTCTGAATCAATGTCTGTCTCCAAGCTGTGACTTTTTCCTTAATGGGTACCGACTGCCTGCTGCCACGACAGATGACTATTTATGAAAACACGCAAAACATCATCCATCAATCTATCTATGATTGAGAAGATCTCTTCATTCGGAGGGACCATAACGGCTGCTATCGCATTTGAAATGGGGAAACAGGATTTGTTCAGCCTTTTATGGGCAAGTTATTCGAGAAAACAATCTGCACGTAGTAGTAATTAAGCCTTATTTACAAGCAAATGAGTCTTATTTTGAGATGAACTCATCCGAATCCGGAACTAACTAGCTGTCATTGATTCTGAATGTTCTCAGTCAATACACAGTTATGATTACAAAAGTAATGTTAGAAAACCACCCCTCTGCACTGACCTTTAAATATTGGTCAGCCCTGGATCAGTTGAAATTCCGTCACGCGAATTTGTTTATCGATTACTATGTAATTTATGATAATTCTATCTGAAGAGTTATAGCCCATCTGGGGATTGAGTTGAACACACAATGGATATTTAATCCAAGAATGAATTTTTCCCCGTTTGTGGTCCAGTTACTCCCGATCAGATTACAACTGGGGACGCATGAAGTTTGATCCAGTGGCTTGAGTTCTGTCTAGCACCACACCTACCTTTACTTTTTTTCAGACTGCGATTTTTCAAGGCCTATTTGAATAAACTATGATCCCAAACCGATGCGTTTTCTTGACATGCTTACTCACGTTCTGTACAAATCTAACGTGTTCTCGGGAACGGACATATACATTGGTGTACTTAGCGGTATCTGTAACCCGTTGAATCATCGGTCCCCGTGGTGTTTGGAGGTCAGTACCTCGTTAAATTGTTCAGCATTTTTTGACCAATTGAACTACTACCATGCAGTGTACAAAAGTTTTCGAATGTTTCAATATTAGACGCATCATCAATCATGTGCAAGAGTTTGCCATAGTCAACTCTCATTTGTCATTTGAATGGCGATTGTGAAAAGTTCAGTAGCCTCGGTGGGATTCAAAGCTGCCAAACATCCACTTGTCATTTCATTGGCTTAACTAAGTTACAGCCTCAGGGCGACTGGACGGCGGACACACTCGGGCCTGATCGATCACGGGCCATGGAAGTTGGAGTGACTGACCCAAATGCTTTTGGGCACAGAGGTCAGGGGTCAATTTTCTTATCCCGATCGCATCGGTTATTGCTAGGGTGCGAAGTTGAACGCCCTTGAACTTGTTGTGTGAGTCATAATAAACAAATTTGAAGGCGACATCCGGAGTTACTCTATGTCCGGTGTGGACTAAATGGGCCAGAATGGCGCTGTTTGCTGCTTCAGTCAGTCCTAGTCTTAACCAGTGTGCCGTCCGACCAACATAATATGCGCCACACACTCATCCGAAAGAGTATGCAACCACTGATGAGGTCAGCATGGGCAGTTTATTCTTATTTTGAATGTGGATCACAAGAGCACAGAAACACCAACCATGATTGGTGATGCGTTCAACTGTGTGATCTGACTTCTAATGTTTCAATATTAATCACTATCAAAGAACGGTTAGCGTCATTGAAAACCTCTCACGACTGGTTATCACTTCATACCGTAAGCACTGCAAGTTTCTGCCAACTCATTATTCGTTCGCCGGTGCGTCAGTTGCGGCAGCCTCCAGCTCCACACTAGGTCATCATAGGGTGTGTGTGTGTCAACGCCAACATTCTCATATCTGATGTTAAACTAAGGGTTGACGAAAAGCTATTTGGATTATCAAGTAGAGTGCCACATGGGCATTGGTTCGGGTAATTATAGGTGCGTGGGGAGAGGGCTGTGTCGTGTGTGGTGTTGGTCATGGAAGATCACACACAGGACAACCGAACCAATAGGCTTGTGTGACGACCAAAGTGTGAGCAACATCCGGTCATGGAAACGGAATGCTGATTATTAGTTTTCCAGTTTCTCATGACTTCTACGCGCCTGATCCCACCCACCACCCATATTAAACAGTCTGATATAAATTGGGGTGTATTCGTCTGCAGAAGGAAGAATCACCGCAAACGAGCCTGTTCGCGACTGTGTGCTTTTCTCACAGTGTGTAATGATGGTATAGAGTCACGGAATGCGTGTTACATGCCAGTAATGTTGCAGGTACAAGTGTCACGCTTTTACATTTGC